GGTTCAGGCAATTCTCCTGCCTCAGCCTCCTGAGTAGCTGGGATTACAGGCACGTGCCACCATGCCCAGCTAATTTTTTGTATTTTTAGTAGAGACGGGGTTTCACCACGTTGACCAGGATGGTCTCGATCTCTTGACCTCGTGATCCACCCGCCTCGGCCTCCCAAAGTGCTGGGATTACAGGCTTGAGCCACCGCGCCCGGCAAAATTAATGACATTTTTAATTTCTATCTTAAAATTTTATATATTTTTGAAACCACATTGCCCGATTTTATGTACATTGTAATCTTTTATTAAATTTTGAACATTAAAAAAAGTTACCTGTCCCAATCTTTATAATATGGCTTTCTCCTGGTATACTTTGAACAATTATCTGGGTAGGATTCTGAGAGGCTTGCAAACATATTCTTAGACTATATCTTTTCTAAAATTTTGTGTTTATTTTTCACTTAAAGAAAACTATTTTATTTCCTAATACTCAGTCATCGCTTGCTACACCTGTTTTTTTTGTTTGTTTTTCTGTGGTACTGCAGTCTCTCAACTGCTGCAACATCTACCTTTGGTCTCAGCAGACTCAAACTGTCATTCAAAGTGTACCACCATACTTTCAGCACTATATGTCATGGGAGACAGAAACCAGTGTCTGGAAGGGTGCCTAAAAGCAAGCAACAAAGTTATAGGAGCCAGTATTTTACTTGTCTTTCTTTAAAAAAATTAAGTTGGAATTTACTTTAAAAAATTTTTTCTGAGGTGTTACTCTGTTGTCGACCCTGGAGTGCAATGGCACAATCTTGGCTCACTGCTACTTCTGCCTCCTGGGTTTTGATTCACCTTTAAGCCACCACACCTGGCTGGTAGTTTACTTATAAGGACATTATATTATATTAGGGAGCAGGAAGAGCTGTGTTGGGTAAATGTATCAAAAAAATTTTTTTGCCTCCTATGTGACTGTTTGCATTGTGCTCACCTTCGGCACATCAAACACTTAACTCATTTATATTGTTTTATTTGATTCTTGTATCTTTTTCTCACAGAAAAATTAGGTGGGCCTGGTGGCTGGTGCCTGTAATGCCAGATACTTCGGGAGGCTGAGGCAGGAGAATTGCTTGAGCCAGGAGGCAGAGGTTACAGTGAGCCAAGATCTTGACAATGTCATGCAACATATTTCTACAATGTTTCTATCTTGCAAATCTAAATCTCAATACACAGTAAACAAGAACCAATTTTTCTGATTTTCTGGCACTTTGCAAACATCACTGTTTTCTTTTTCTGCGTATAACTGCCTCACATACCTCATACAATCTCATTTGGTGGCTGGCTCTTTTCATTTTGCATGTCATCAAACTTTATCTGTATAGTAGTTGGAATATTTCTGGCTTTTTACATCCTAGGTGATATTCCAGTGGTTTTTTTTTTTTTTTTAATTTCATTTTAAATTATGTCTCCTGAATTATTTGGTGACAGAAATTTGCACTGCGTTTACCTATTGGCTTTCAGTAACAATGCTGCAATAATTATGAGTATGCAAATAACTTCATATAATCATATATGTAAAAGTTTACATATGTGCTGCATTGTTTTTTAAGTTCATTTTAAACCATTATAGTCATACCAAATTGTTTTTATTCTATAATTTTGTAATGTATTTTGATATCAGGTCTGTAATGACTTCAACATTGTTCCTTTTATTTTGAAGACTTTGGTTACTTTATTGTCTTTGGAGATTTTATATACTTTTGGGGTTGCTGTTTCTATGTCCTCAAACATGCAATGAGAGATTCTTTAAAAAAAAATTGCATTAAATCTCTAGGTTACATTGAGCAGTATGGACATTTTCAAAATATTATTTCAAGCTTTGAAGATAAGTATACTGAAGAGTGTTGTCTAATTTCTGTATAGCTATAAATTTTTTAGTTTTTGTCTATTGCTTTATACTCATTTCATTTTGGTCATGGAATTTAATTCATAAATTTTCAGTTTTAAAAAATTTGTTAAGACTTATTTTTTTGGCCGGGTGCAATAGCTCATACCTGTAATCCCAGGGTTTTGAGAAGCCGAGGCAGGTAGATCATGAGGTTAAGAGATCGAGACCATCCTGGCCAACATAGTGAAATCCTATTTTTACCAAAAATAAAAAATTAGCTGGGTGTGGTGGTGCACACCTGCAGTCCCAGCTACTCTGGACGCTGAGGCAGGAGAATCACTTGAACCTGGGCAGCAGAGGTTGCAGTGAGCCAAAATATATAAACTCTGAAACAGAAAGACTTATTGTCACTTTATTATTTGATTCTTTTAGCTTTGTTTCTCATTATCTCTCTTAATTTGTATCTTTTTTATTTGTATGTTGATATGCTTTTATTTCTTTCTTGTTTTGTGTTGCTATGCAACTATGTTCTTTGTGCTACTGTGGGGATTATATAAAACCTCCAAAAGATGTAACATATTTCAGTCTGGTAAAAGAAAAAAAAACACTAGTTGCATGCAAATTTTTTCTCATCTGCTCTCAAATTTGTCATTGATGTTTCAAATGATATCTTTTTAGGTTGTATGTTCATTAACAGATGTTTATAATGATTTCTATGCTTTTAACTTTCAATTTTTAGAGAATTAAAAATTTTTCTGGGCCAGGCGCAGTGGCTCACGCCTGTAATCCCAGGACTTTGGGAGGCCGAGGCGGGTGGATCACGAGGTCAAGAGATCGAGACCATCCTGGTCAAAATGGTGAAACCCCGTCTCTACTAAAAAATACAAAAAATTAGCTGGGCATGGTGGCGCGTGCCTGTAATCCCAGCTACTCAGGAGGCTGAGGCAGAAGAATTGCCTGAACCCAGGAGGCGGAGGTTGCGTTGAGCCGAGATCGTGCCATTGCACTCCAGCCTGGGTAACAAGAGCTAAACTCCGTCTCAAAAAAAAAAACAAAAAATAAAATTTCTGTACCATCATGCTTTAAAAATCAATTTTTGTGTTTGTGTATTTCTTTTCCAGAAAATGTGTTTTTATACGATTATGTGTTTTGTTGAATCACACTATTTTCATTGGAAGCAACTGCTTTCAGCACCTTTTATATGTAAGGCAGTGCCAATACACTTTTTCAGAACTTGGTTAGTTTTGAAGGTTTTAAAAAATTTATTTGGCAGGACAGATTTGCTGATGGTATTATAGTCACTTGATAGCCATGTATATATTTAGGGTTTTGACTATATCAGACAGTACCCTTCTGGCCTGCAAAATTTTTGTTGACAGTTTACTGGCTATCTCATAAGATTATGCTTGCCAATGACACATCACTTTTATCTTGCAGGTTCCAAGATTCTCTTTTTGTCTGTGAGTTTTGAAATTGTGCTTATATATGTTTATTATAAATATCCTAGTTTGTTTTTTGAGTTTCATTTTTATGTCATTTCTTTTTTCAGGATGTTTGTTACTGTTTTTGATATTTTTTACCTTCATAATTTCTGTTTTTTGATATTTTACATATTTTTGTTCTTATCCTCATTTTTCTAACTTTCTGTAGTTCTATTTTACTCACTGAATATTATTTATTTTCAATTTTTATTTTTTTGAGACGGAGTTTCGCTTTTGTTACCCAGGCTGGAGTGCAATGGCGCGATCTCGGCTCACTGCAACCTTCACCTCCTGGGTTCAGTCAATTCTCCTGCCTCAGCCTCCTGAGTAGCTGGGATTACAGGCATGCGCCACCATGCCCAGCTGATTTTTTGTATTTTTAGTAGAGACGGGGTTTCACCATGTTGACCAGGATGGTCTCGATCTCTTGACCTCGTGATCCACCTGCCTCGGCCTCCCAAAGTGCTGGGATTACAGGCTTGAGCCACCGCGCCCGGCCTATTTTCAATTTTTAAAATTAATGTATATTTTTATGGCATCTGAAACTTTTATAATATTTTTGATAAAACCATATTATCCTATTTTGTATACATTGTAATCTTTGATTGTAATTTGGACATTAAAAAAAAGCTTTGTTGTGGCATAATTTCAACAATTGTCTTGGTTAGAGATTCTGGAAGTCTCTGAAACATTTTCCTAGAATGTGTCTTGTCTACCATTTTGGGTTTATTTTTTAGCTAAAAAAGTTTCTTTTCTTTTTTTTGGCGGGGGGAGGGGCGGCGGGCAGGCAGACAAAGTCTTGCTCTGCCTCCCAGAGTGAAGTTCAGTGGCATGATTTTGGCTCACTGCAACCTCTGCTTCCTGGGTTCCAGCAGTTCTCTCACCTCAGCCTCCTAAGTAGCTGGGAATACAGGTGTGTGCTACCACACCGGGCTTGTTTTGTTTTTTTGTTTTGTTTTAGTAGACATGGAGTTTCACCATGTTGGCCAGGGTGCTCTCAAAACTCATGACTTCAAGTGATCCACCAGCCTTGGCCTCCCAAAGTGCTACGATTACAGACGTGAACCACCACACCTGGCCTATTTGGGTGTTTTCCTAACAACAGTCAGTAATCCCTGGCTACACCTGTTTTTTGTGTGTGGCACTGCAGCCTCTCTGCTGCTGTAACATTTAGCTTTGGTGTTATTCCAAAGTATACCACCATTTCTTTAAGCACCATATGTCAGAAGAGCCAGAAACCAGTGTCTAGAAAGGCCCTTAGAAGCAAGTAATAAACATATATGTGCCAGTATTTTACTTGTCTTTTAAAAAAGAAACCATAAGTTGGCAGTTACTTGGAAAGGCACTATGTTATTATATTGGGGAGCAGGAAGAGCTGTGTTGGGTAAATGTAACAGACTTTTCTTTTTCTTCTCTGTCACTCTCTGTTGTGTTCAGCTGGGGTACTTCCCACACTTCACTCATTTATAAATTTTCCTCAGCTGTATTTTTGTTATGTTTTTGTTACATTTACATGTCTATTGAAAATTAGGACCTTTGGTATTTTGCTGTGCCATCTTGTATATGTAGTTTGTATAATTTTATGGGTTAGATTTATAAAGCATATTTGTCTGAGTCTAGTAAATGGGGCAATTTGTTATTTTTATTTCTTTCAGTTATATATTCTCATTTTGCCCAAGACCTTTGGCCAGAGCAGGGCATAAAAGATTCTTTCCAAGAAGTCATATTGAGAAGATATAGAAAATGTGGACATGAAGATTTACAGTTAAGAACAGGATGTAAAAGTGTGGATGAGTGTAATCTGCACAAAGAAGGTTATAATGAACTAAACCAGTGTTTGACAACTACCCAGAGTGAAATATTTCAATGTGATCAATATATGAACGTCTTTTATAAATTTTCAAATTCAAATATACATGAGATAAGATATACTGGAAAGAAACCTTTCAAATGTAAAAAATGTGACAAATCGTTTTGCAGGCTTTTACACCTAACTCAACATATAAGCACTCATACCAGGGAGAATTCTTACCAATGTGAAGAATGTGGTAAAGTCTTTAACTGGTTCTCAACCTTTACTAGACACAGGAGAATCCATACTGGAGAGAAGCCCTACAATTGTGAAGAATGTGGCAAAGCCTTTAGTGTATTATCAAACCTTACTAGACATAAGAGAATTCATGGTGGAGAAAAACCCTACAAATGTGAAGAATGTGGCAAAGATTTTAAAGAGTACTCGCACCTTACTACACATAAGAGTATTCATACTGGAGAAAAACCCTACAAATGTGGAGAATGTGGCAAAGCCTTTAGGGTACTCTCAATACTTACTAATCATAAGGTAATTCATACTGGAGAGAAACCCTACAAATGTGAAGAATGTGGCAAAGCTTTTTACCTATCCTCACACCTTACATCACATAAGATATTTCATACTCGAGAGAAATCCTACAAATGTGAAGAATGTGGCAAAGCTTTTTACAGATCCTCACACCTTACTACACATAAAAGAATTCATACTGGAGAGAAACCCTACAAATGTGAAGAATGTGGCAAAGCCTTTAGGGTACTCTCAATCCTAACTAATCATAAGGTAATTCATACGGGAGAGAAACCCTACAAATGTGAAGAATGTGGCAAAGCCTTTAACCGGTTCCCAAAACTTACTGCACACAAGGTAATTCATACTGGAGAGAAACCCTACAAATGTGAAGAATGTGGCAAAGCCTTTAGGGTACTCTCAATCCTTACTAGACATAAGAGAATTCATGGTGAGAGAAAACCCTACAAATGTGAAGAATGTGGCAAAGATTTTAAACAGTACTCACACCTTACTACACATAAGAGTATTCATACTGGAGAGAAACCCTACAAATGTGAAGAATGTGGCAAAGCCTTTAGGGTACTCTCAATACTTACTAGACATAAAATAATTCACAGCGGAGAAAAACCTTACAAATGTGAAGAATGTGGCAAAGCTTTTAACAGGTACTCACACCTTACTATACATAAGAGAATTCACACTGGAGAGAAATCATAAAATGTGAAGAATGGCAAAGCTGTTAACTGATACTCACCCCTAGTACACATAAGGCAATTCATGTTAGAGAGAAATCCTACAAATGTGAAGACTGTGACAAAGGTTTCCATTCATTCTCATACCTTAAGATTATTCATACTGGAGAGAAATTCTACAAATGTGAAGAATGTGGAAAAGGCTTCATTGGTCCTCCACCCTTACTAAACATAAAATAATTCATACCAGAGAGAAATCATATAAATATCAAGAATGTGATAAAGTTTTAACCACTGCTCAACCCTGACCACTAAGATAATTCATGCTGGAGGGAAGTCCTACACGTCTCAAAGCTTTTTATTGATTCTCATGCCTTACTAAACATAAAATAATTCATATAGGAGAGCAATCATACAAATGTATAGAATGTGGCAAAGCTTTTAACAAATTCTCATCTATTACTAAACATAATTTATACTGAAGAGGAAAACCTATAAATGTGAGGAATGTGGCAAAGCTTTTAACCAGTGCCCCAAATTTACTGCACATAAGATAATTTATACTGGAGAGAAGCCCTACACATGTAAAAAAAAATGTGGCAAAGCTTTTAACCAATCTTCAACCCTTACTACACATGATAATTCATGCTGGAGGGAAACCCTACAAATGTGAAGAAGTGGCAAAGGTTTTAACCAATCCTCAAATCTTACTAAACACAGGATGACTCATACTGGAGAAAAATCTTACAAATGTGGAGAATGTGGTAGGTAAAACCTTTATCCAGTCCTCAACTCCTACTAAACATAATTCATACTGGAGAGAAAACTTACAAATGTGAACAGTGTGGCAAAGCCTTTTTTTTTTCTTTGAGACGGAGTTTCGCTCTTGTTACCCAGGCTGGAGGGTAATGGCGCGATCTCGGCTCACCGCAACCTCCGCCTCCTGGGTTCAGGCAGTTCTCCTGCCTCAGCCTCCTGTGTAGCTGGGACTACAGGCACACGCCCCCATGCCCAGCTAATTTTTTGTATTTTTAGTAGAGACGGGGTTTCACCGTGTTGACCAGGATGGTCTCGATCTCTTGACCTTGTGATCCACCCGCCTCGGCCTCCCAAAGTGCTGGGATTACAGGCGTGAGCCACCACGTCCGGCCGTGGCAAAGCTTTTAACCAGTCCTCAAACCATACTGAACAAAATGATTCACAGAGGAGAAAAACCTGACATATGTGAAGAATGTGACAATACCTTTAACCAGTTCTCAATTCTTACTAAACATAAAAAAATTCACACTGGAGAGAAATCCTATGAATGTGAAAAATATGGCAAAGCCTGTAACTAGTCCTCAGTTCTTAAAAGACATGGAGAGAAACTCTACAAAGCAGGAAGATGTGACAATGCTTTTGAAAACACCTAAATCTTTTGTAACCATTAAAAGAAATCATATTGATGAGATTTCATATTGGTTATAACAACAATACATTTTACCCTAAAGAATGTTATATAAATTAATACATAATGAGATATTACTCATTTATGAACTGGCATTATTAATAGTTAAATATTTGTATTACACAAAATAATCTACAAATATAATGCAACCTCTGGCATTACTAGCAATATCAGAACTTTAAAAAATTATGTCAAAATTAAATTTTAGTGATTAAAAACAGAATAAAAATTTAACCTACACAAACAATATTCTTTAACTTACTTGTAGTTGACAGCTACTAGCACAAAAAATCATTAGCAATGTTAATCCATCATGTTACGAAATAGTACACAGTTACCATCTTTTACTATACCCTTGAGTAAGGTGGAAGAGGTTAAAGTTTGTGGCATAATAACACTTCACTGAATGATCAATAGTATTTAACATGTTAAAATTGTTGAATTAAACACGCATAATCTAAAATTTTAAAAATGTAATGTATTATATAAAAGTACAATTAGTACAAACACTAATTTTAAATAAAATTAAACGTTTTCTTCTCATGATAATGCATATTACTCTAAAAACCTACCTCATTCATCACTCAATAAGTTGACTCCAAAGAACCTCTCCATTTAGATTTTCATTATGCATTTTACATTTTAATATCTTTATTTTTCTATAAAAAAGATTAATGCCCACCTAATAGAATCTCTTGCCAGGTGTGGCTCACGCCTGTAATCCCAGCACTTTGGGAGACTGAGGTGGGTAGATCATGAGGTCAGGAGTTCAAGACTAGCCTGGCCAACATGGTGAAACCCTGTCTCTGCTGAAAATAAAAAAATTAGTTGTGCATCATGGCAGGTACCTGTATTCCCAACTACTTGGGAGGCTGAGGCAGGAGAATTGCTTGAAAGTGGAAGGCAGAGGTTGCAGTGAGCCAAGATCCTGCCACTGCACTCCAGCCTGGGCAAACGAGTGGAACTCCAACTCAAAAAAACAAATAATAAAACAAAATGAATCTCTCATATCTTTGATGCAGAAACAATTGATCCCATGCTTTCACATGGGAATCCAATAGGAATGAAGAAACAGTAGGAAATAATTTCAGAGTTGAATGATATCATTATTCTTTTCAAAATACCTGTAATCCTTTTCAAGAAATATGCTTTAGATGTAATTATAACTGCAAAAAACCTTCTGATCCTCTTGAAGTTATATACAAGGCTGGGTTTAGTGGCTCACGCCTGGAATCCCAGCACTTTGGGAGGCCAAGGTGGGTATCACGAGGTCATGAGATCAAGACCATCCTGGCCAACATGGTGAAACCCCATCTCTACCAAAACATATATTTAAAAAATTAGCAGCGCCTGGTGGCACACACCTGTAGAACCAACTACTTGGGGCGGGGGGGGGTGGCGCAGAGGAATTGCTTGAACTCAGGAGGCAGAGGTTGCAGTGAGCTGAGATTGAGCCACTGCAACTGCACTCCAGTCTGGCAACAGAGCAAGACTCTGTCTCAAAAAAAAAAAAAAAAAAAGTTATATACAAATAATTTTTCTACCAACTTAGTTTTAGATTTCCTATACTCAGCACTCTGATTTAGTATATCTGAAGTATCAGTGACATACATTTCTACCATAATTTATCTGATACTTGCATAGACTTAATTATAGATTAATTTTTTTTTTTTTTTTTTTTTACTTTTACTGTATCTGGAAAAATATATTCTAGTATGAATGAACACTCTTTATTTGGTGAGTGTGATGAAGTTTCACTCTTGTTGCCCAGACTGGAGTACAATGGCACAATCTGCTCACCGCAACCTCCACCTCTCGGGTTCCAGAGATTCTCCTGCCTCAGCCTCCCAAGTTTGATTGGATTACAGGCATGCACCACCATACCCAGCTAACTTTTTTTTTCTTAGTAGAGATGTCGTTTCTCCATTGGTCTTGAACTCTCGACCTCAGGTGATCTGGCTGCCTTGGCCTCTTAAAGTGCTGGAGTTACAGGCATGAGCCACAGTGCCTGGCCCTTGATTATTTTTATTTTTTGGAGGAGTCTTGCTGTGTCGCCCAGTCTGCAGTGTAGTGGTAAAATCTGGGGTCACTGCAAACTGCTTCTCGAGTTCAATCTCCTGCCTCAGCCTCCCGAGTAGCTGGAACTACAGGCCTACACCACCATGCCCAGCTAATTCTTTGTAGTTTTAGTAGAGTCTGGTTTCACTGTATTGCCCAGGCTGGTCTTGAGCTCCTGAGCTCAGGCAATCCACCTGCCTCAGCCTCCCAAAGTGCTGAAATTACAAGTATGAGATACCATGCCTGGCCTCAGATAAGACTTTTAAAGGCTGGGCATGGTGGCTCATGCCTGTAACCCCAGCACTTTGGGAGGCCAAGGCAGGTGGATCATGAGGTCTAGAGATCCAAACCATCCAGGCCAACGTGGTGAAACACCATCTCTACTAAAAATGCAAAAAATTAGCTGGGTGTGATGTCATGAGCCTGTAGTCCCAGTTGCTCAGGAGGCCAAGGCAGGAGGATCACTTGAACTAGGGAGGCAGAGGTTGCAGTAAGCTTAGATTACACCACTGCACTGCAGCCTGGCAACAGGGCAAGACTCTGTCTCAAAAATAAATAAATAAATAAATAAATTCAGTCTTCTATTAGTTCAGTGCATGCAGTTAATCCATGTTGTGCTTCACATTCACAAACTTTTCAGCTCTCCATGAAGTCTGAAATTTTTTCCCTCTACTATGATGTCACAATCTTCAAAATTACCAGACACTTGCATTCAAGAGCACCTGTTAGAGTTTCATAGCTGATTATAAAACCACCTTCTAAAGAGGACCAAAACAATACAACAATTGTCTGTGAATGACAAAAAGTTTTAGGGCAGCCATAGTCAAAAGACATAATTGACATGAAAATTTATTTACCTCTGTGGCACATAATAATTTAACATAACAATTATAATTATTGCTGATGATGTATACTAAGTCATATAAGAATTATAAGAGTTCCCCAAAATTTCGGAACACATACCAATAATGTATTTATATAAATGCAGCCAAAGAAACCAAACACCATTCCATATTTGGCAATGCTTTTTGTATTATTTTTATAAGATACAAGCAAAGTTATGTTATTTTTAAACTTTAGAGAACATAATATTTAAAGGATTAATTAGGTAAGAGAAATTCATAATTTATCATTTGATTTTGGAAAGTTTGATGGAACTTTGTTCCACAGAAAGAATCTCAGACAAATAATCAAAATTTTTAAACACTTGATATCACAGGTCATTGTAAAGTAAGTCATTTATTTGACCAAAGTGATACTCAAAGACTTTGAAAACAAAAAATGAGAAAAACCTTCATTCTTTGGGAGAGATTATTGCCAAAAAATAATCTCTAATAAAACAGCATATGGTGGCCGGGCGCGGTGGCTCAAGCCTGTAATCCCAGCACTTTGGGAGGCCGAGACGGGTGGATCACAAGGTCAAGAGATCGAGACCATCCTGGTCAACATGGTGAAACCCCGTCTCTACTAAAAATACAAAAAATTAGCTGGGCATGGTGGTGCGTGCCTGTAATCCCAGTTACTCAGGAGGCTGAGGCAGGAGAATTGCCTGAACCCAGGAGGCGGAGGTTGCGGTGAGCCGAGATAGCGCCATTGCACTCCAGCCTGGGTAACATGAGTGAAACTCCGTCTCAAAAAAAAAAAAAAAAAAAAAAAAAATGCATAAAGCCAATTCAATTTGTTTTTCAAAATGTTATAAACAATTTATAAAGTTTTAATCTTGACCATAAGATATAACTTCTATAAGCCCATTAGAACCTTTAATAAGGAGTCAGCTAATGTTTCAAGAAAACCTTGTTAATCTCACACAGAGACCACTAGTCTGGTCTTGCATCAGTGTGCCTTTGACATGAATAATTAATTTACAGAAAAACTAAACTTATATCTGTAAAAATCAGTTCTTACAGTCTCACATGCCCACCTCTTCTGTGATATTCCCTGGGCCTTGAGGAGTTGAATAGTTTTAATTTCATCTCATCTGCTGAGAAGGTGGCTCGTAGTTAAGACTATTTTCATCTAGGACAGTATTGCAGGCCAGACCCTACTTAACCTAATAATGAAAAAGGTCAGAATCTAATTTGAAAAGAATTCATGTAAGGTCAGATATTAAGGATGGACACCAGATAACAGATTTAAGCTACCCTGAATATGTATTCCAATTTGTAGCCATTACAAGTCTGTCTTTTTGAAACAGTGCAAAGGCAGATTCTAAGTTGTTTTTGTTCCTTTTTAGATGAAGTTTTGCTCCTGTTGCCCAGGCTAGAATTCAATGGTGCAGTCTTGGCTCATCACAACCTCGGCCTCCCAGGTTCAAGTGATTCTCCTGCCTCAGTCTTTGAAGTAGCTGGGATTACAGACATGCACCACCACACCTGGCTAATTTTGTATTTTTTTTTTTTTTGAGACGGAGTTTCACTCATGTTACCCAGGCTGGAGTGCAATGGCGCGATCTCGGCTCACCGCAACCTCCGCCTCCTGGGTTCAGGCAATTCTCCTGCCTCAGCCTCCTGAGTAGCTGGGATTACAGGCACGCACCACCATGCCCAGCTAATGTTTTGTATTTTTAGTAGAGACGGGGTTTCACCATGTTGACCAGGATGGTCTCGATCTCTTGACCTCGCGATCCACCCGCCTTGGCCTCCCAAAGTTCTGGGATTACAGGCTTGAGCCACCGCGCCCGGCTTAATTTTGTATTTTTAGTAGAGACGGGTTTCTTCATGTTTGTCAAGCTAGTCTAGAACTCCTGACCTCAGGGATTGCTGGAGCCCAGGAGTACTGGGCTGTCGTGGGCTGTCCTGCGCTATGCTGATCGGGTGTCTGCACTAAGTTCGGCATCAATATGGTGACCTCCCAGGAGTGGGTGACCACCAGGTTGCCTAAGGAGGTCAGAAACAGAGCAGGTCAAAGCTCCCATGTTGATCAGTAGCGGGATCCTGCCAGTGAATATCCACTGCACTCCAGCCTGGGCAACATAGTGAGACCCTGTCTCTTAAAAAACAAAACAAGGGCCGGGCGCGGTGGCTCACGCCTGTAATCCTAGCACTTTGGGAGGCCGAGGCGGGTGGATCACGAGGTCAGGAGATCGAGACCATCCTGGTCAACATGG